TATCCAGCCCCTCTGGATAGAGGTCCGGAAAACGCAAGAAAAATTAGGCATATCGAACCTACCAACAACCCTGCAAACCTACCTCATGCTCCTATTTCCCACTGATCTCGCTAGAGAACACAGGCAGGTATGCACCATTACACTTCTAGCCGCTAGGAATCTCCTAGCCACACACTGGAAATCGCACATATGTCCCTCAAAATCACAACTATGGGACAAGATCCAACAATATTATATATATGCGGGTATGACATTAAACAACAGTGCAGAAACACAGAAATTCCAAAATGTATGGAAACATTGGAAAGACCTGTACGCAAAGGTTACATACACCCATGAGTAGACCCTGAGGGATATTACGATTACTTACAGAGGCAGGACTGCCGGGTCACACTTAGAAACGCCGACCAAAACTCAAGGCACCATGTTACAAGTAGTTCAACACGTAGAAGGGTACTGACGCGCCGCACAGGATTTGTGTATAGCAAGGCTATAACCAATGTTTGCTTTATGTTCCCTCCCCCTTACTAAATATGTACTGAACAAACGTCTGAGACATCGAAACTGTAACCCCTGTATCCCTTTCTTTCTTCTGTACCCTGTAAACATGTAAACCAATAAACAGATATTTAAAAAAAAACAAAAAAAAAACAGCAAAGAAACCCCGACACATGGTCAGGTTCCGAGATTCAGGCTGGGTCTCCCGTGGTCTTATAAAGTGTGGAGTAAAAGTCCTGAAATTCTCTTGCAATGTCTTGAGGAAATGGCGAGACACCCTCTGATATCAGCTTAAGTCTGTGGCTCTGGGTGTGTTGCTGGGTTCCTCGGAGCATTCTGGCTAAGCATTTCCCCCTTTTGTTGGTATGTTTGTAGAAGAATCCTGTAGACTGTTGGCATGGGCGTCCACAGGGGGGTGGACCTGCTCCCCCCCTGGATTTTTCAGCTTGTTCTGCTATTTTTCGTGTGATTGAAAATACTGTGCCAGTAGGTGGCGCTGTGTATGGAGAGAGACAGGAATAGGAAGCTACATCTTATCCCTTATTCTCTCTCCTGACTGAATCCGCAGACAGCAACTCCCAGACTGCAGAGACAGCCTACAGATCAGGTAGGTGAGAGATGGGGGGGCAGCCTACAGATCAGGTAAATGAGGAATGGGGAGGGGAGAAACAGCCTATAGATCAGGTAAGTGAGGGATGGGACGGGTAGGGGGGGAGACAACTTATAGATCAGGTAGATGGGGGGGTGGGAGACAGCCTATAGATCAGGAAAGTGAGGGATGACGGGGGTGGAGACAGCCTATAGATCAGGTAAGTGAGGGATGGGGGGGAGAGACAGCCTATAGATCAGGTAAGTTAGAGATGGGGGATCCACCTACAGATCATGGAAGTGAGGGATGGGGGGAGACAGCCTATAGATCAGGTAAGTAAGGGATGGGGAGACAGCCTACAGGAAGGGTCAGCAAGGAGCAGGAAGGTAAAGTAAGAGAAGGAGCAGAAAGGAGAAGGAACAGAAATGAGCAGGAAGGGACATCAAGGAGCAGAAAGGGACAACAAGGCGCTGGAAGGGACAGCAAGGAGCACAAAGGTAAAGTAGGAGAAGGAGCACAAAGGAACGGAAAAGAGCAGGAAGGGTCAGCAAGGAGCATGAAGGGTCAGCAATGAGAAGGAAGGGTCAGCAAGAAGCAGGAAGGGTCAACAAGGAGCTGGAAGGTAAAGCAGCACAAAGGTAAAGTAGAAGGAGCATAAAGGAACAGAAAGGAGCAGAAAGGCTCAGAAAGGAGCTGGAAAGGGCAGCAAGGAGCAGGAAGGGACAGAAAGAGCACAAAGGTAAAGGAGGAGAAGGAACAGAAATGAACAGGAAGGGACCTCAAGGAGCACAAATGGTCAGCAATGAGCTGGAAGGGGCAGAAGAAACACAAATGTGAAGTAGGAGAAGGAGCAGAAATTAGCAGGAATGGTCAGCAAGGAGCAGGAATGGTCTGCAAGGAGCAGGAAGGGGCAGCAAGGAGAAGGAATGGTCTGCAAGGAGAAGGAAGGGTCTGCAAAGAGTAGAAAGGGACAGAAGGAGCACAAAAGTTAAAGGAGCAGAAAGAAGTACAAAGGTAAAGTAGGAGAAGGAGCAGAAAGGGCAGCAAGGAGCACAAAGGTAAAGTAGGAGAAGGAGCAGAAAGGAATAGAAATGAGCAAGAAGGGTCAGAAAGGAGCAGGAAGGGCCTGCAATGAACAGGAAGGGTCTGCAAGGAGCAGAAAGGGACAGAAGGAGCACAAAGGTAAAGGGGCAGAAATAATCAGAAGGAACACAAAGGTAAAGTAGGAGAAGAAGCAACATGGAGCTGAAAGGGTCAGCAAGGAGCAGGAAGGGTCTGCAAGGAGCAGGAAGGGTCTGCATGGAGAAGAAAGGGATAGAAGGAGCACAAAGGTAATGGAGCAGAAAGAATCAGAAGGAGCACAAAGGAAAAGTAGGAGAAGGAGCAGAAAAGGGCAGCATGGAGCGCAAAGGTAAAGTAGGAGAAGGACCAGAAAGTAATAGAAATGAGCAGGAAGGGTCAGCAGGGAGCAGGAAGGGCCTGCAATGAACAGGAAGGGTCTGTGAGGAGCAGAAAGGGACAGAAGTAGCACAAAGGTAAAGGTGAAGAAATAATCAGAAGGAGCACAAAGGCAAAGAAGGAGAAGAAGCAGCAAGGAGCAGAAAGGGTCAGCAAGGAGCAGGGAGGGGCAGCAAGGAGCAGGAAGGGCCTGCAAGGAGCAGGAAGGGTCTGCAAGGAGAAGGAAGGGACAGAAGGATTACAAAGCTGAAGGAGCAGAAACAATCAGAAGGAGCACAAAGGTAAAGTAGGAGAAGGAGCAGAATGAAACAGGAAGGGAAAGCAAGGAGCAGATAGGGCAGCAAGGAGCAGAAAGGGGCAGCAAGGTGCAGAAGGAGCACAACGGTAAAGGAGGAGAAGGTGCAGAATGGGGCAGCAAGGAGCAGGAAGGGACAGCAAGGAGCAGAAACGGTCAGCAAGGAGCTGGAAATGGCAGCAGAGAGCAGGAAGGGACATAAGGAGTACAAAGGTAAAGTAGGAGAAGTAGCAGAAAGGAGAAGGAACAAAAATGAGCAGGAAGGGCATCAAGGAGCAGAACGGGTCAGCAATGAGCTGGAAGGGGCAGAAGGAGCACAAAGGTAAAGTAGGATAAGGAGCAGAAATGAGCAGGAAGGGTAAGCAAAGAGCAGGAAGGTTCAGCAAGAAGGAAAAAGGGACTGCAAGAATCAGGAAGGGTCTGCAAGGAGAAGAAAGGGGCAGCAAGGAGCAGAAAAGGGCAGGAAGGAGCTGGAAGGGACAGAAGGAGCACAAAGGTAAAGGAGCAGACAGAATCAGAAGGAGCACAAAGGTAAAGTATGAGAAGGAGCAGAAAAAGGTAGCAAGGAGCTGGAAGGGGCAGAAGGAGCGTAAAGGTAAAGTAGTTGAATGAGCAGGAAGGGACAGCAAGGAGCACAAAGGTAAAGTAGGAGAAGGAGCAGAAAGGGTCTGCAAGGAGCAGAAAGGGATTAGAAAGAGAAAGGAGCAGAAGGATGCAAAATAAGCAGAAAGGAAAAGGAGCAGAAGGAGCCAAGGAGGAGAGAAGACAGTGTCAGAAGAAAAAGAAGACTGTGTCAAATGAAGGAGATGGAAAGGAGCAGGAAGGACCCCTCCACTTTAACCCTCCACTTTATTCAGGACACCACATCATAAGGCTTTGGTACTTGGGCCTGGCAGGGAAACTATGGACCTTCTTATCTCCCCAGGTAAAAAAAATATCAGTGTTAATGTGTTCACTTTTATTTACTGAGTGTCAGGATGCACAGAGTGCCGCTAGGTAGGGGTGTCGGTGATTGGCTAGAGCGGATAGCTGCACTCTAAGCCAATCAATAGGTCCTCATTCATAAAAAAAGTCAAACATTTTTATGAACCGGGAACTAGCGATTGGCTTAGAGAGTCAACTGACCACTCTAGCAAATCTGCAGCACCCATGCCTGACGTTAATCTGCACTTCCTGACACTGTTTCAGAAGCCGAATACCACTGAGTGACCTGGAGATCTGGAGCTGGAGGAAACCTTTGGGGTTAAACAATTTGAGAGTGGTTTAACCCCTTAATGGAAAGAGAGCACCCAGGGGCTCCCTGGCATCATAGCATTTTCATTTAGATTAAGTTGTTATGGTGATCAGAATGTTCCTTTAATTTGCTTAAAGGAACACTATAGTGTTAGGAATACAAACATGTATTCCTGACACCATAGTTGTGAAAAAGCTATTCAGCCTGGCTTTATGTGATAATGACTATGCCCCTTCCCTTTCATGACACTGTCAAAAAGGGACCAATCATGGATGTCATTACAATTATGCCCCTCCCTGGAAAAATTCCTGCGGACGCCCATGACCGTTGGACACCTCTAAAATGTTTGCGTCAGAAGTTTCTGTAAGTGTGCACCCTGCGTCCAGTAGGTCCGCATAGATTGATTCAAAATGTGATCATTTATGCTGTGACTCTAGGTTGGCAATTCGAGTCATCAAGTCGGTTAGCTGTTGCATCCTTTCTTTTTATTTCTTGGTGAACCAGTATTTGTTTTACCCACACTAACTTTCAGCTAGTGTATGGGGAAAGGCCTATTATCACTCTTGTTCTATCCTGTAACTGAAAGGAGGGAAAATAGCGGAGATACTCAGGCTGAGAAGACCAGGCCTTGATGCAGCACTTCACTAAATTCCAGGCTTGACTTTTCAGTGAGGCTCTTCACCCAACGCCCCTTACCATAACTTGCTCATTTCCACATTTTGCTTTTCTTTTCTTTCTTCAAAACAGACTTGTTTTACATTCTTAGGGTTTAGGTAATTCCGCTTATGTTCCACATGAATTTGGAGATTTGTAAGTATTGTAGTTTGATTAAAAATGTGAAGAAACTTTATTCTTAAATATGATATGATTTGCCTCTTAATTTATTCATGTATTATTCCCCTATATTAATTGTCTTTCTCTCCTAGGAATTCTTGGACAGTAAAATCGGGGACGAAGTGGATTCTGAAATGAATTCTGAAATTGAGCCCCAGCGAGTTTGTGTAGCTGGAAGGATGACAAGGCAGTTGGAAAGTTCAGATACTCTTTTGAATCCTTTACATTCATTACTGCCAAAGGTCAGTCTCTCTCTCTCTCTCTCTCTCTCGCTCTCTCTATATGTATAGAAATAATAGAGAACTCGGAGGTGAATATTTGTGTATTAAATAAACCATCAACATTTCGGCCTCTAGAGCTCATGGGCTGTTGCTGATTTATAGCGTATAGCTTGAGTGCCGGACCCAAATCGGATTTGTGGATATGAGGGGTCATCAAACTGGTCCCTACCACCCACTAGTGGGTGATTCAGGCTTCATAGTGAGCTCCCTCAACGGCCTGCTGGCACTTCGTTCCAGCAGAGGGAGGGAAAGACCCGTAGACACTTGAAGCATTCATTGCCTTGAGCTATTTCAATTGCTTGTGTTTGATTTGTTCATTGCAAACAGCTGAAAGTCTGTATGTTTTTACAATAAACCATGATTTTTAATGGGGGTTTAATAATTCTGAATACAACTATAGCTTGGTATTTCTCATAAAAGGCTGCTTCCCACTGCTGATCTGTTTTTACTGCTGTTTGGTGCAGGGGGCCAACAAGCAGGCTATCTTTTTTCAGCCATGAGTACTCAGAAGGCCCGAGCTGAGGTGCTTAGATGTCGGCCATCAAAGACTGGGATAATCCCCACAAGTTTGTGGGTCACGTTCAAGTTACCTCAATATTTACCTTTTTCCAAGCCAGGAGATATGTTTCTCCTGTCCACAGTGGCAGCTAACCAGACTAGACCACAAAAACAAGATTTGCAAATACCTTTCAAAACAATACAATCTGGGTTAAATAGTCTCACACAAGGGGCCAGTTGCCTTAGTAGTGGATCTGTTCCTGTCTGAGGAATTTGTCTGAGGAAAGTAAGGACTATAATTTATCAAATTAGCACTTATATCGAGGAGCTGCAGAGCCATGTGTTCCTCCAATTTGGCAGCCAAGTCCCCCCCCCCAAACCCGCCCCCCTTTTTAATTTTAGTCTTTTAGCAGTCTAGTAGATAACTCCCTAATTTGGTATACTTATGTGAGATTTGCATATACAGTGGGACCTCGGTTTACAAACGACTCGGTTAACATAATTTTTGGTTTACAAATAAAAATCCATTGAAAATAATGCCTAGGTTTACAATTTTTTTTCGCAATACAAAGCATGTTTCCCCAGGATGCATTGCACCTGGGAGGTTTATAGCACTGCCCCCTGCATGCTGGAGCCTGTGGGTAGCACGTGGCGTAGAGTGTGGAGGTGTTGGAGCGACTTTTGCATCGAGTTTTGGAGCCATTCTGGAAATTGTTTGCAGTTGTTTGGGGACTTTTTGGTGCATTTCTCAAGCTGTGGAAAGGTAGAGTGCTGAGCTTTGTCGTTTGCATGCCTTTTTTCTGTGTTCTGCATTGTGGGTTGGTTTCCATGCCAGCTCATTTTGACTTTTTTCTGACCTCCAGAACGGATTAATTGGTTTTCAATGCATTCCTATGAGAAACCGTGTTTCGGTTTACAATTTTTTTTATCTGGGATTGCCAAATATAAGGATATCAGATTAGGGAGCTAACTATTAAACTGCTGAAGGTTTACAATTAAGCTGTTTAGTAGATCAAAATTGTGACGATAATCACTATCACTAGGGATGGAAGACAGATACTATATGTAGGTCCCCAGATTCCTCTATAAGTCCTCCTCTGTGCCAGGGTGACCAGATTTTGAAAATAAAAAACACCCATTAGTGATATAAAAGTCTGAGAAATTAAAAAAAACAAGCAGTTAAATACATACACACTATAAGTCTTTCACCTATTCCTGGCCAAAAGTGGCTGTTACAGCTCATCCCCTCCTGCTACTCAAATTAATGTCTTTTTATTTATATTTTGTAGGAGCATAATCAGAGGACACACATACCCTAGACCAGAGCCATGGTAACATCATAATGGGCCGCCAGGCAAAGCAATGCACTGGGGCCCTACTTACGTAACCATTCACAGGAATAAAAATATAAATTATTGATAAAATTAAGCTTATATTTATTGATACCTCCAACAAATACAATACATACACACACACACACACACACACACAGACTGCTGAATACACAGACAGACAGACTCCTTAATACATACACAGAGGCGACTCTAGACTTTATGAGGCGAAACTCAAACATGAGGCCCCACTAACAAAAAAGTAAAAAAAAAATAGAGTTGCAATAGAGAATACATGCACACTGTCACATATACACATTGATGCACTGTTTACCTGAGAATGTGTCTGACAGTCTTGTGTGTGTGAATGTATGTCTCTGTGAGCATGTTTGCATTTTTGTCTGGGACCGTATGTGTATGGGGTGTGTTGTGCGTATGGGGGTCTGCCTGTAGCCTTTGTGCATTGTGTTTATTGCAAAGCTATGTTTCTTGACTGTGTGTGTATGATGAATATCTTCAGCTGGTGACTGTGACAAGGTGAGTAAAGGGGTACCAGTGGCAGGGAGAGTGTGACAGGGCGAAGGGGGTAAAGGGACAGGATGAGTGTGGCAGAGTGACGGCAGGTGAGTTGAAATTGGCAGCAAGACTAGTTGGATCACTCTCTGGTTGGCCTCCCCACTTTTCATGATTCGCTATCGAACTACTTTGTGTAGAATGCCATGCCGGAGAAGCCACCTGTGACGGTGTGGTAGGCACACAAGAGTGTCATAAGAGGAACTTTTATCTCCATTGGTACAACTTGGAAAAAGACATAATCTGAGCAGCTATGGAAAGTACTAGATAGGATCTATGAGTTGGAGACACAACATAAGCAAACCCTTTCTGAGAACTCCGGTACTTGTTTGTGGCTAGGAGAGACCTTGCGACGATCCTAATACAACAAAACCATTTAATGCTCCAGACATCTAAGCATTTTTTTTTTATGAATGTTTAGATGTCTGGAGTGCATCAGATTGCTTGCAAGAATGTTGAAGAACAGGCAGGTCTGCTTTTACATCCACCGAATGCGTACTGGAACTCAATCAAGCACTGCACACCCATCTGACACCGCCGCGTCTTTCCATAGGTACTACTCTTCACTATACAATAGCTTGGCTGGTGCAAGCCTCCAGCATGCTACCTCACAATAGGAAAAAATGGAAGTTTATCAGTCCGCACACATCAGGAGCAAACCTGAGCCCAAGATGGCAACTTGTCTAGACTAGAAGCAGAAATCACCACGGAGAAGCTATGAGAGGCCATATGGATGTAAAAAAACGGGTAGGGCCCCAGGCCCTGATGGACTCCCACTACAGTATTATCAGAAATATGGATGTACTACTCGATTACTTGTTCAATTGGTTTCTCTAGCAAGGCAAATTAGGGATGGAATCTCCCACGGCACATATAATGGTGCTATCAATAGATGAGAAAGATCTGAAAAAACTACAGGCCCATCTCCTTACAGAACTATGAAATAAAGTACCAAAGTATTGGTGTTTGGCATGAAGGAGGTCTAGCCAGACCTTGTCCATTCAGACCAAAGCGGGCTCATTCTTGGTAGGGAGGCAAGAGACAACTCCATCCGATTATTCAATATTTTACACCTAGCCAAATCGTTGCACCGCCCCCTGATAATCCTGATAATCCTTTCTACTGACGTGGATGAGGCTTATGACTAGGTGGACTGAAAATTCATGTTTTAACCTTGCAGATGATGGGTTTCAGGGAGACATTCTACAAGTAGATACAAGCATTGTACTCAACGCCATCAGCCAGAGTTCAAATCAATGGAGGCCTCTCAAACTCGATACGGATTGTGAATGGGGCCAGGCAAGGCCGTCTGCTCCTGTTTGTGCTGACTGTAGAGCCTTTATTGGAGGTTATTAGCCAACAAGGCTTTAAATATGAAGGGGTTGAGCACAAGGCCTCGACTTATGCCGATGACTTACTATTTTATATTGAGAGATCCATTAACTACATTTCCAAATATTCTCCCTGAGTTCTATGAGTCTGGAGACTTGAGTAACTTCAAATTGAACCTGGATAAATCAGAATCATTAAACATCACAACCCCAGCTCAAGAACTGGAACAGCTGGTCTCAAATTTCCAGTTTTGTTTGTGTAAAGAACCGATAATGTACTTGGAGATCTGGATTACATGCGATTTGACAAATCTATATTAATCAAATTCCAACCACTTTTGAACCACTTCCTTCCAGACGCTACCCCATTTCTCTTGGATTGGGTGCATTAACTCAATAAAACTTAATGTCTTGTCCAGGGTCCTCTTGTTGTTACAAACGATCCCTGTAACTCTACCTCTTGCATTCTTCAAGTCCCTAAATTCTACATTGATGCACTTCATCTGGAGGGGCTGTAGACCCAGGCTCTGCATGACACATTTGATAAGACCAAGACAGATAGGTGGTCTGGGCATGCCCTCTTTCATGGCTTACTACCGGACGGCTCACTTGACAAGGATGGTAGAATGGCACAGCCTAAACTCCAAGAAGGTCTTGTGTCACCTCGAACAGCAGATGTCCTGGGGCCATATCACACAACTCCACCACTTCTACACCTCCATAACCAATCAGCTACAATTAAACAGGCCATTGCTGCCTCTTTAGGACATAAACCATTTTACTGCAGCATATTCATGCTCTACCGACTACTGTTGTCGGAAGATTGACTTCCAGCTTTTATGTTTCAATTATTGTGAGAGGAAGCTCTCCATATGATGTTCATGACCCAGGAATGGAATAAAATAGCGGCATTTACTTACCTCAGTTCCATATACGCAATCAGGAAACCAATTATAAGATCCTTACTCACTGATACGCTACACAGTAGAAACTACCAATGTTTTACCCAACGGTACCAGACTTCTGTTGGAGATGTAGGAGTGGAATTGGATCTCTTATGCACATCTTCTGGGAGTGTCCGCTGATAATACCATACCATCACCCCTCCCTCTCACCATCAACCCCTCTCCCTCTCACCATCACCCCTTCCCTCTCACCATCACCCCCTCACCATCACACCCCTCTCCCTCTCATCCCCTCCTTCTCACATCACCCCTCTCACCATCAC